ACTCCCAATATCATTTCTATGCAGATGACACGCAAATCTACCTGTACTCTCCTGATCTCTCCCCGTCCCTCTTGACTAGTGTCTCTGACTGCAACTCTGCTTTTTCTAACTGGATGGCTGTCCATTTCCTTAAACTAAACTTGACCAAAACTGAAATTCTGGTCTTTCCTCCCTCAAGTGTTGTTACTCCTGTGTCTCTCTCACTCCAAGTCAACAGTGCTACCATCAGCTCCACCACGTAGGCTCGCTGCCTAGGTGTTCTCTTTGACTCCGACCTCTCCTTCAAGCCTCATGTTCAATCTTTCGCCAAATCCTGTCATTTCCATCTCAAAAACATTGCGTGCATCCACCCCTACTTAACACCAGATGTGACTAAGGTGTTGGTCCATTCCACTGTCCTTTCTCGCCTTGACTACTGTAATCCACTTCTCAGTGGTCTTACGTGCTCCCAACTTGCGCTGTTACAGTTAATAATGAATGCGGCAGCGAGGCTCATCTTCCTGTCTGCCCGCACCTCCCATGCCTCACCCTTCTGTCAGTCTCTACATTGGCTTCATATAAAATATAGAGCTCGATTTAAAATTCTGGTTCTTGCTTTCAAATCGCTACATAATGCTGCTCCCACCTATCAATCCTCCCTTATACACAAGTATGTCCCGTCTAGGCCCTTACGATCTGCTGAAGACTTACGTCTATCTTCTGTCCATACTCCCACCTCTGATGCTCGCCTTCAAGATTTCTCAAAGGGCTGCACCGTTCCTGTGGAACTCGCTTCCCTCCTCTATTAGATGCTCACCCAGTCTCCACTCCTTCAAAAAATCATTAAAAACCCACTTCTTCATAAATGCGTATCAATTAAACTGTTAATAGCTCCTGACTGATTCCTCTTCTGCAACTGTCACTAGTCTAATACTATCCTTACCTTTTTGTGTCATTTTACCCCACTCTCTCTAGCATGTAAGCTCATTGAGCAGGGCCCTCAACCCCTCTGTTCCTGTGTGTCCAACTTGTCTGGTTACAACTACATGTCTGTTCGTCCACCCATTGTAAAGCGCTGCGGAATTTGATGGCGCTATATAAATAACATAATAATAATCATAAGCATTCAAACTGACTGACTGACTGACAAGTATCTCGCTAATATTGGGAGGTTGCCGCATTTCCAAAAATATGATAAAGTGCAATACATCTGGAGATTGGAGATACACTGCCAATAACATTCTTCACTGTTTTATTATATCACTGCAGAAAATGTATCGCTTCTCATCTGCCAGGAGCCATGTTGTTGCTCTTTGATTATTGGCTAAAGTATTTTTACTTAAGTATAGTAGCTTTTTGTTTTATTGACAAATGCTGGTTTCATGTTCTAGCTGAGGGCCATCATATAAACTCTGACGCGCTTGTCTTTGGGCCAGAGAGATATAAAACCATTTAATCAAAAATACATTCACTGTAGGAGGGAACTTAAATGTAATTTAATTTAAAAAAAACTAAAAACTCCTGCTGTTTAGAACCTTGAAAATCCTTTAACACAGGACTTGTTAAAATATCCTAAGCTATTAACAAACTACAAATCCCTAGATGCTTTGCTTTGGCCAACACTGCTTTTTAGAACAATTAATCATTTTCATTTCAATTAAACTATCTAAAAAACAAAATGATAAAAAAAAAAATGGAAGTACCTTGTATATTATTTTTTCCATCTCTCTGGTTTTAATACAATGCACTGAGACATACAGGGTTATGCACTAAAATTAGTTCAAAGTGAATTTTACAATTAAGGCCTATATAGCCGAGCTGGAAAAATTCTCTAAATTGTATGCTTTCAGTTTGTCTACTTTGGTCTTCAAATTGAATGTGATTCCCATTACTCGTATAACACAAATATATTCTGCAGTGCTGTACACTTTACTGAGAAGGTAGTGGATGCATGGAATAGCCTTCCAACAATGGAATATACTGGAAAACACTCTATTCTAATCCAAACCTGTCATGTTGTGTTTCTGAACAAGCTAAGAAGCCTGCAGGGAAAAAAATATATATATCATGATCTTCTACATATGGAAACACCTTTTTTAAATTGATTTTTAACCTTGTAAGAACTAAACAAATTATTTACGATTATTGCAAACTGGTCCCCAAAGACCAGCATCTAATGTCCTGTTTATTGAACATTACTAGCTCTATAAAACCCTGACGTCTTTAAATGAGTGTGACATTTAATTCGGAATAGGAACAGATTGTTATGATGGCACAAGTTCTTAAGGGATTAAATAGGGAATCTTTGTAAACTGAGTGAATTTGTTATGTTTACATTGGAACTCAAACATTAACCACTCATGATAAATTCCGAGGCACTATTCATTTATCCAGAAAGAAAGCTGCTAGAGTACCACTCATTTATCTAGAAGAAGAGCTTTATGTGGTTGTCTGCTTAGCAGACAGTCATGTACCTGGCCAACAATACTGAGAATGATTTATAAAATTAATTCTCATTGCATAAAAAAAAAAAAACAAGTTTCATCTGAGAATCTTTGTCAAGAATCCTGTCCCTTTAGTACAAACCTAAAGTCTTTGTGGAGATCTATCATATGACAAGCAAGGTAGAGAAAGTCTGTAATATCTGCTCCAAGCATACCTAGAATTTTTATGTCCTGGGAACTCCTGGGACCTCTCCGTTGTACGCTTATCTTTCTGCGCCTAATGCAATGGCAGAGTAGACGAACTGAGAATTTCACTGGTGTCAAACGTGGCTTATTAATTAACATATCTAGAAAATCTACAAGATCTATCCACATCTATTGCTCTATCAATAAATGGCATCAGTCAGTTCTCGGAGCGGTGAGATGAGTCTCCGAACAGAGCTGTCAAGCTTCAAACACATCTCTGTCTGGTTTCATTTCTTCAACACGCATGCAAAGGAAAAATCTATTGATTACCGATAGCAGTCAATCTAAACAAAGTAAAGAAGGTGTCAGAGCAATGAATAATTGCACTCGCACACTTAGTCCGTTTGCCTTTAAACAAGCAAATCTGTAAACAGCAAAAAATCATACCTGCTTTTCGATAGGCTTACCTAAGTGATTGCCTGATTTGAAGTTATTTATGCAGGGCTTTCATAACAATGCTTAAAAATTTACTCTTAAAACTTACTCTATTATGTGTCTAAATTCAGATTTAATGTAATTATGTTGTAAATAATGCTCATCCTATGCTTGTTGATATGATTTATGTGTGTACAGTGTGTCCACTTTGTTTGAATTTTTTTTTAAAGTGCAGATTTAAATAGAAATTGGCACTTTTATAACTTTACCATGAACCCAGAGCACCTGCCTTGTACAGTCTTTAAGCTGCATTGGAAAGTCTGTGATTGGACAGCTACAGAAAGTCTGGGCGGGGTCAGAAGGGGAGGACTTACAAAGGCTGCAGACAATCTACGTTCAGAGATACTCCAATAAAAAAATGCATAATTATATGCATGCATGTTTTTATTGGGAATATATCAACTGTATATTTTCTCCGTCTCTAGGTAGTGCAACGGCATATGGCTATGATGCAGATAAAGTATATGTCCATCCCTCAGGGAAGTATATGTCCATCCCTCAGGGAACATTGCTCATGCAGTTGGGATATATTATACATGACATTGCTCAAACTATGTGGACACCATTTCCCATTTGTGTGTAGGGCTTTTCCAACCAGAGGTGGAAAACCAACATACAGGCATGTGATTTTCATAGAGATCCAACGGCAGTTGAATGGCCAACTTACATGAGTGCAGATAAGACACATGTTTGTTAGGAAATAGACACCATTCCTGCAGAGGGTCATGAATACCTGTGGCTTATCTGCCCTCATGTCGCTTTAACCCCTGTATCACAACTCAACTTTGAATTCTATGTGTCCTCTTGCTCAGAAATGCTTCAGACTTGAGAAAGGGAAGTTCTCCCGAAAGCCTGTCATTAAAAAATTATGTTAGTCCAATAAAAAAGGTATTACAAGATACGAATTTTATCAGATTTTTTACATCTACATCACTGGACAAATACGGCTACAATCTCTCTCTCTCTCTCTCTCTCTCTCTCTATATATATATATATATATATATATATATACACACACACACATTATATATATATATACACACACACGCTTTTATTTCCTATATATGTATAATATATTATAATTAAAGCATTTTATAATATATTATACATATATAATGCATATATATGATATTATAAGTGTATTTTGAGATATATGTGCATATATCTCAAAAAACACTTATAATGAAATCATATTTATGCATTATATATGTATAATAATTTATTATAAATGCTTTAATTATTTTATAATATATTATACATATATAATATATGTATAATATATTTGTTTTATTTTTATTTTTTTTGTTTGTTACTTTTTAGCAGCCTGGGGGACTGCCTGACAGCTCAAACAGTCCCCCTGCTGTCAGCTCCATAGACTCCTATTGTGGCGACGTGATCATGGTGATCACATGACCCTGGAGGGCCAGGGTGGTCGGAGCTGCTGCAGGGGGACTGCTGGGGTCTCCGGCAGTCCCTCTCGACTGTGATGGTCGCGGATCGCTGGTCCAGGTAAGTCAAGGGCTCCTATTTGCCACGGACGTACTGAGTAACTAGGTCCTTAATGGCCATTTTTAGTCGGAGGTACCTAGTACGTCCGCAGTAGTTAAGAGAATATGTATTTATAACGTCATTATAAATGTATTTTGATATACAAATTGAAACCAGTATATATTTTATTTTTATTTTTTCAATTTATTTATTGATTATTTTTATTTTATATATATATATATATATATATATATAACTATAATTGTATATCTATATAATAAATGTTATTCTAAGTGTATTTTAATATATATATATATATATATATATAAATAAAAAAGATTCCTGCACTCCAACCAAAGAAAAAATTATACCTGGTGCTCTGGTAGCTATAATAATATATCCCCAAAAAATATCGGCACTCAAGGAGTTTCCAATCTTAAGTTTAGTTTTATTCCAAGAACTACATCAACGTTTCAGCTCCCCATGGAGCTTTCATGGGGAGCTGAAACGTTGACGTCGTTCTTGGAATAAAAGAAAACTTAAGACTGGGAACTCCTTGAGTGCCAGTATTTTTTTGGATATATGTATATATATATAGAGAGAGAGAGAGAGAAAGCTCAGGCAGGCCTCCTGCAGGCACTGCACAAGCTGGCTATTCCGGCCATGTGATTGCAAGGACCTCGCGATCACATGGCATGGGAGGGCCGGATCGGTGAGTGGGGGTCTGTCTGAGCTTCCAGGCAGACCCCTGGATCGCGATCACCAACGGGGGATCGCCAGCGATCAGGTAAGTGGCGATTTACTCTCGGACGTACCAGGTACGTTTGAGGTCGTTAACGACCATTTTTTGCCGGACGTACCAGGTCGGGAAGGGGTTAAACAATTATGTTCAACCAAATATGTGGCAACATAAATTCATGAAAAAAATTTTGTAGGGTGCCATCTCCTTTTTTAACAGAAAATATGAGAGTAATATAATCTCAAATTAATTAAAGCCTTGATTAGGACACTTGAAGCAGAAATTTGTGCACCTTCCTCCTGTTAACCGTGAACCGCATACGTCGTGAGAGACGACTGCTCATGATCACCCTAAAATGCGCTCACATCGATTCATTTGAGACATTCTGGAGCTTGTTCAGCAGACCAAATTAAAAATTATTACAGCACTTATTTTTGGGGTTTGGAAGTGATCTGAATCCTGAGTCTGTACAGTAAAGAATGATTTAAAATTATTGAACTGATTCTCATACAGAAGAGAAATGCAGTCTTCCACATTTGAAGTCCAATTTGAAAGATTGAAATGCTCCTAAAAAATTGAAGCACTCCAATAATTTCTAATCAGTGTACACTAAGCTTCGCAGGCCAAAACCTTAAACATTGTCATACTAAGGTGCTTAGAGAGGGAAAAGCTTTGGTGATTCAATACATTTTAATCACTGTTCTTTCTGAACAAGCCATTTTCATAGAAAGATGTATTTACACTGCGGTACCTGAGAAGAATAATAAAATACCAGACACATTGACAATTTACATGATTTTCAATCGTATTTCCTGACTTGCAACATGGGATTACATGAGCCATACGTGTGAAATAAGAAAAATACTATTAGAAAAAGTATTAGCGTATATATAGAGCTGACCAAGGTAGAATCTTATGTCTTTCTTTTAAGATCACAAATAACGTTGCTCACGCATTGATTTATGGCACTGTAGTCCTACAAATCAAACTAAGTTGATCTCTCAATGTCTTGAAAAGAAGACTAAGTTGACTACTTTGTGAGAAAGATTGGTTGTCCATTTTGACAGTGGAGGGTTGGGAGTGGATTGCTGAGGTTTGTATGCTATTTATGATTTTCCTAAAGTTTCTAGGGTTTGATACATTGTGTGAGCCTTTGTCATGTTTGTTTGTTTTGTGCATGCATTTCGCCATTTTCTGCAAGTACAATGATCGTTCATGGAGCCAGTACGCTTGAACTTTGACGACAGTGAATCTCTAAACTGGTACATTTGAATGAGGTCAGCTGTGACCCAAGACAGGTTTTAGTCGCACTTTACGCAGTGGGGCATGCAAATTCCAAACACGAAAGAGCTCGGACTGAAAAAATGCAATTGCAGAGTCTAGATCTGGTATAAGACCTAGTCTGTGCCATGGTATGTTCTTGAGATGATTTAAAAAGCATTCAGTATTACATTTTTTGAAAGACCTTGTGATTATAATCTTGGGAGGGGTTTTAGTGGCCTTTGTGCAGTATACTAGACAGTGGTCACTGAAACTGTTAGGGAGAACGCTTGCCTACTGGATTCTGTCAGGACAACTGGAGAGAATCCAATCTAGCAAAGTACGGTTTTGGCTTTTAATATTAATGCGAGTTGGGAAGGAAATTAATTGTGTTACCTGCAAAGTCTTAAACAGCGTACATGATTTATTATTTTTAGGATTCAGCCAATCAATATTAAAATCTACAAAAACCAACAATTCACTTTTTTGGTTTTGAGCTACAGTTCCACTTAGTAGTTGGGCTATATTAGAAAGGGAGTGCACCGGAGAGCTAGGTGGGCGGTAGATTCCAGCAACAATGATAGTTTTACTGAAAGGGATCTCAATGGTGTCAGATAGAAAATCAAAGGCAGAAGGGGAGTTATAGTATTTTAAATGAGTACATTTTAAGGACTTGTCAACATAAATAACAATGCCTACTCCTCTCTTTGCTCTGTCATTTTTAAAACTGTGGCAGGTCAGTTATGCCAACATACTCCAGTATTCTACAGATTTTTAAGTTGTATTTTCTCAGTTGGTCTTCCAAAGTGTCCATCCTTTCAGCTGTGGTAAGTTGTTGCTGCTTTAGTTCTTTGATCTGCTGTTCGACCAAGGTAAGTCTGATGTCGTGGGTGTTTGTAGAGGCTTCCAGGAGAATAATCTTGGCTGCTGCGCCTTCAATTGCATCATTAAAATAGGCCATATCTGTGGTTATGTTCTTGCGCAAATCTGCCAACATACTATTGAGCAGATCCGCTGTCCCAAGTGCCCCGACTGGTGGATGTGTGGGTGAGAAATCAGATGGCAAGCCTAGTGCCAGGCCCCGGGATGGTCCCTCTCCAAGATCCGAGGGGGTGCTGTCCGAGGAGTAGATAGAGCCTTCGTCTTCAAGCGCTATCTTATGCCAGGAGTTCCCTGATATCTTAGACATTAGGGCATTTTCCCAGTTTAGGGTTTTTGTGCTTTCTTCCCATTGTGTTCCCTGACAAGGAAGTAGGGTAGGTATCTGGCTGTGTGCCAAAATTCCACCGAAAAACACAATTTTTTGCCGAGGTTGGCTCAGAGCTCCAAGTGTTGCTACTGCTCCATTCTGCGGCTAGCTCCGCCCCCCAAAACTGTTTCATTTTTACAGCACAATGCTTTTACTTTAGAAGTTCTTATCTCCTGCTCTGTTAATTGAACTTTAATCACACAAAGGAGGATGTTGGAAATTCTAGTGGACAATTATTAAAGCAGGAGATAATAAATTCTAAATTAATCACACGTTGCAATGAAGGAAGTTAAAACATTTCAGCTTTTTTGTTTAGGGAGACTTTGCGAGTCACTTCTAGAAGAGGAGTGTCCAAGGCTGCATAAACAAAAAGATTTGACTCCTACATTTTAAAATTGTCTATGTATTTGTCCTTCATTTCACAAATAGGCGTAGAAATGGAGAACGTCAAATTAGTAATTGGATAAAACTGCCAAGTAAAACATTATATCTTTACTGAAATATATTTAATTGCAGTATTACCATGGTTTTGTGTAAACTGGAAATGTTTGGTATTTTTGTGGTCTACAAAGATTTTGCATTTCACAGCCCTTTCGAAATAAAGCTACAGGTCTAATTTATGTGTTTTAAATAATTCAGCAATGTTTGAAGTGAATAATAAGTTATACAATTCAGAAAAGTGACCGCTTCTCTTAAAGATTGTTTTTAACAGGAAACTCATAACATTTTCTGCGTAGGGACAATATCAAATCACACGGTCACAGCTCTGCAATTAAAAGGTTAATTAAATAATTACCAGTTCAGAATAGCACAACCCCTCTGGACAAACCCAGAGCAGACTCCGGCAACAACAGATTTCACTGTCTCAATATAAAGATCGAGATGATTCAAGCTTTTCAAAGTTAAAAATAGCTGAATATTGATTTGTTTCCTCGGTTCTAGTTGAATGGCGGATCATGTGAAGTTCCCTGGCCGCGGAGTAGAGGGCGGCTGTCCCATACGCTTTATCATTTCTGCAGCTATAGATTTTAACATTATTGTATTTGCCTTGTGTTACAGTAGGCTAAGATTGTATTTTTGATTTATTGCAGCAGATGGACAATTTATTCAGCTCTTCATGTTTTATAGCTATTTGTGTGGGAACAAAAATACAGCCAGGGACACTTGGCTGAGCATTAGCTAACAATTACAGTGGAGAGTTACAGTGTTTGAGTTCTGTTTCTCTTTCTAAATATATAATATATATCTTCTTTATAAAAGGGGCAACATGTAATTGTCCGGAAAAAAACCCCCCAAAAAACCAGATACACTTATAATCAAGATTCTATGGCAAATAGCAGACATCGGGCTGTCAGGAACACAGCGTTTTAAAATGCAAAAATGCTTTGTGTCTTGTTCTCTTCCAGGAAAACAAATCGAGAAACATGTTTTTCTGGCTCATCAAGCGTCACCCTCCCACTCTAGCGAGCAGAATATCCCAGTGAATATGGCCATTTAATTGTATTATAAAATATGGAAAGGAAACTGACTCGGTGAAAGAAATGTAGCCTGCATTTATCATTATAAGCTGAGTGCTCTTTGTAACTGAATGCCTAATATAATTTATCTGGTTGTTAAAGGAACACTCCCTGTACCATAACAATATATCCTTTTATGGGTTATGGTGCAAGCTTCTATTTATTACAACATCAGTGATTTGTTAAATGTGTTGCAGCTCCGTGCCAATCACCCCCTGGTATGTAGTAGGGGGGACATAGTTTCCCTCAGGCATGTGGAATACTTTGTGTTCCTCATATACCATATACAACTTCTATCTTAAGTTAAAGAGGCACTTTAAGCATTATAATTATTCTTTCAAATGCAGTTTCTGTTTCATTCATGTCTTTTCAGGAATGAAAGTACTCACAGAAGATAAATGGCACTACTACTGGGTTTACAGGCTTGCACATCTGTTACAAAAAATCTCAGATACTTCTGAGAATTGATTGCAAATTAGGGAGAGTAGCACTAAAATTATTTGATATTTTTAAATAATTTAAAGCATTGACTCCACAATATATATTTTTAAGGTGGTGATGGTGGGGGGGGGGGGTGTTTGAAGGCAAACACTAACTATAACCTTTTGATGTTAAGAGGCATGAGCAATGCAATGGCCCCAGGTGACAGCATAGATTTTAAAATGCTATAATTTCACACATAAATTGCTGTCCTTGAAAAGCCATGGGTGTTCTAGCAAATGACAAGTGCTACGCCATTCTCCATATGTAACAGCATCATAACGAGAGCAACAAGCTTCTTCCTGGACCAGATGTAATGGCTGTAT